CCTAGCAAGACCCTTTTCAGGAACATGCAAGTGCCTTTGAAAAAATGCCAGTTTTCTTAATATTTGTAAGATCTGTGCAAGGCTATCAAACCCTATGTGTTACTAATTCCAAAGTCACTTCTCCATTACCCTGTCTGTAAAGAATTTGGGCGCTGTGCTGAGAAGGTATTAAATCTTTTGCGTTAATGGGCACAGCATTTTATTTAAAGTGTGACTCTCTCCACAAGGATGTATGGTTGTCTGTGATTATTTGTCTTTCCTGACTCTAAGTGGCAGTTTTCTATTGCAGAATCCTGTCAGGAGCTGAGCAGACACCAAGTGAATGAACACCAGCATTATTCTGAAAGTAAACTCTTTCTTAGCTTTTTTCCCCTGGAAGACAAAGTGATATTTCCCAGATACAATCTCTTATTATTTAAAATGGTTTAGCTGGGAGTTTATATAGTACCTCCAAAAAGAAATAGCAGTCCCGTCATTAGAAGCAGTAGGTAGGCCCTGGCAAGAATACTGATGAATCCAGTCATTCCTCCAAAAATCATCAATATCAGGCTGAGGGGCATCAGGATGACAAATGTTCCATGCATGTCTGAAGAAAAATGAAGACTGTTAACATTTTAATATTTTATTATGGTGTCATTGGACCTACTAATAATTATTGAGTGCAGAACACCTGATCAGGATCAAAGCCTTATTATCTGCTGCGCAAACAAGGAGCTGGACAATCTCTTGGGTTTTCAGTTTAAGTTGGCAGGACAAATATATGGTATGGAGGAAAAGGTACCATACAGAGCAAGCCCTTCACAGCATCGCAGCATGTGTTTCAATGACCACAAGTTAAAGGATATGTCTACATGTATATATTTAAGCAATTAAACTGTTCTTAGATATTAAGCCTAACTGGATAGCAGGTGATGCATTGCATATCAGGTAGTCACTGACAACCTCAAAAAAAGTAGCTGTTTATCTGAATCATACAGATCACAGTGACTGGCATTGTTTGGGTGGTGAGATCCAGCAGATGCTTTGGTTGAATGCTGTACTTTCTATCACACGTCCTCTGCTGAACTGATCTAGCAAATTGTTGACCTTTTCCTTTGTTGCAGCTGACCATCAACTAGAGGTAAATTTTCCCATCCAGCCCTGAGTCTGTGTCTGTCATTGTTTTCTACAGCAGCTTCACTAAGTACATTAACCTATCCTGGTTGCTTCCTCCCATGCTAAATGTTTTACATTAGTCTTTATTGATGCCTATAACATTTTAATAGCTGTGTAAACAGAGGGTTGCTATGTACTTTTTCATAGCACACTGTTTTTTTCCACCATAAACAATCTCTGTGTCATTGTTCCCTCTCATGCAACCTATTCACAATGTTCAACCCAACCTTTTCTAGAATAACAAAACCAAAAGTAATTCCAGCTTCCAGTACCCATTTATTAGAGTATGAATCACTACTAGAGTGAAGTGCAGAATTACTCAGAAAGGAAAACTTAAAATCCATTTTCTGAAGGGCTCCGGGCTTCAGTGTCTCATTTAATTTCACCGAGGAACAACAATACACCGTTAGCCGGTTCCCAAAGAAAAGGAGTCAGTTAAGAGATCACAGTTTCTGTGTGATCAGATGATCGATTTTTTTAAGTCATTGTCACTGCCCACTGAAGTGAAGTGGAGGTACTCCACCTGCCACTGGCTAAGGATCCGGCTTATCCTCTACAATATCATTATAAAAATAAGACACAATTGTGTATGTATCTCTGTTCAGTTCTAGAACCTTGGAAGGTTAGGAACAGCATGCATGAGATCAAGACAGACACTGTTGATTTCTTTACTTGACTGGAATGTGGTTTCAAGACATAATTATTTGGTTTCTGTAGTACAGAACATGCTCACAAGGGAAAATGTGGCAAATGACAAAGTTTTGGGAGGTGGCCCTATTGTTCTTCCATTTCCTTTTATTTACGCTGGTGTTATATTCTCACATTTACTCCCACATATACCCACATCAGGATCAGGTAATGTTCCAAAAGCACAAATTCAGCATTCTGTGTTGAAGGGAACACTTTCTCTCCTAGCTTCTAAATCTGAGGATACTCCATGGACTTTTCTTCAGCAAAACTGGCTGTGATTGCTGTTGCTGGCTAGGAAACTGAAACCTATAGCAATTCTGAGACACTAACAATCAAATTAATCTTCAGCTTACTGTGTATAAACCAGTATGACAAAACTGTTTGCAAATCTTAGTGGAATACCAAGAGGAGAAATAGCCATGGAACTTAGCTCAGAAGTTTTATATAGTTAGAAGTGGTTGTCAGGGATATGATGCAACATGATGTGACAGAGCAGAGATTTCGCAGGCAATTTAGTTTTCATATTCTAGAGAGGCAGCAGGAACAGGCTAGTCTTCTGCCCCGTTTGTGCTTCCTGATTTTGATTCCCCACCATTTTGACATCCATGTGTCCTCTTAAATTTGTTCTTGCACGTAAGAGGTGAAGAGGCCTTAGGGGGATAAAATCTGATGCAATTAACACTTTAAAAGAAAGAATGTAAGAATGGTGCAACTCTGGCCTCAGACCTGGCTTTGCTGGGAGGGAGGAAACATAAACAAGCTCATCACTGGGCCTGTGCTTTGTGATTTTCCAGGTGTTCCTCACTAGTCAAAGTTGCTGCTAACAAACTATACCTCAGGACAGTAGTACTAACAGTCGCTGTTTCTTTGACTTTCCTTTTCATAGTGTGATTTCAGCTATTGCAGCTAGGACTGTAACCTTAGCCAGGACAAGTGCAGGTGAAGAAGATAAGGCTCTGAATGTAACCTTTTCTTTTGAAGCAAAGGGAAAACAAATCCATACTAGAGTATTCTCCTGGGGAGTGTCATAGATTACATTAGTGATCTGTGACAGTTGCATGTAACATTGGAATAACTCCTATCTTTATGCCCTTTTCAGTGAAAATATAGGGTTTAGGGATATCTCAGCTGAAACCCACAAATCCCACTGTGACAGAGCCTCACTTTCCCTACACACAGCTAGGATCACATTTCTCATGAATCACCTGCAGCTTTTTTAAAATCAAATATTTAATGGATTGTATTTGGTTAAACAGCACTTTTATCACCTCCAGTGTTCTAGTTCAATACCTAATACCCATTTGTCCTTCTTCTATGAAATCTGCAACTGCCTGGGAAACTTATTCTAACATGCTGCCATGGAAACCACTCAGGAATCTGAATTCATGCTGTCTGGCATATGATATTATGCCATTATATTCCTTGATTAGAGGGATAGAATTAGTTTATAGAAGGACATGTCTTAAAATATCTTTACTGTGTTTCTGCCTTCAATAATCATCTGTGAAAGAAGTTAAAACATTAATTTTGCAGTCATTTTAATGTTTTTTAGGTTGTGTTCAAATACATATTTATGCATTATGTATTATACATACAACTGTCTTCATTTTGATGAATTTAATTTAGTACTGAAAAAAAAAAATCCAACCTAAGCACTTTGCACAAGAAGAGGTATGTGCATTTTCTTGTAAAACAGAATTCAGTTTCCCACATCTGTTTCTCAGCGCCTGAGTTCCCTATCAGTCCAATACAATAGTTTAATCTTGAAAATGCTGAAACAAACTGATGAACATTTAAAAAACACTCTAGTATTTTTGTAGCAAAAAATACTTTAATTGCTTGATCTAAGTTAATAAAGTTTTACATCAGCTAGCCAAAGCTGTTTTACTGGAGGTCTGACCAAACATCTGTAAGAATGACATCTGCAGTGTGTGTCCAGAGCAGTGAATTTGGCAGACATCTCTAAATTACCACCCAACACAATTGTCGATGAGCTGTTTGTAACAGAAATCTGTGGAATGAACTAGAAAAATTGAATGGTGTCAAAAGCAGCCAACAGCAGGTCTAGCAGTTTTGTTAATCATCTCCTGTTAACATGCTGGAGCTTAATTGTTTCAAACTGACTTTGGATTTGTTTGCACAGCTTATAATAGCAAATAGTATCTAGAAATCTGTAACAGTCACCTCATCAGAAATACTCTAAAGGGCAGCAGCTCAGAAGAACTTAATTAAGGACCTGTTTATCTTCCCCAGCAGTAACTAAATAGCCAGTTAGAAAGACAAAAGCCTCTGGCTGAAACAGAATGCTGGCAGGAGCTAAAACCAGGGGGGCTGCTCTGGAAAGACTTGGCAAAGCCAGGAAGAAACAGCGCTCTGAGAAAGCCTGACCTGCTTGCAAGAAAGGAAGGAAACAACTTAGAGAAACAACAAGCAACAGAAAAGAACTGCTGTCTGTGACTAAATGTGAGACTTCCGGGCTTGAAACCCAGGGATACGAAGGCCTGGATTCCTTTCTGTTCAGTAAAGATGATGGTGGATGAGAACTCACAGGGTTAGGGTACCCCAGGATAATTAGCTAAGCTCTGGACTTTGTGTTACACGTTTTGGCTTTGTGCTCTTCTCATGTAACAAGTCTCTGAGCTAAACTGGAAGACAAACTGCAGATAGTAGAAATAAAATTATGCTAGACTTAGTACAGGTGGGCACTGACAAAAGCCTTCAATACTAGGAATGGGTAGAATGATAAACGTACGTGATGCACTGTGGTTCACATTCTATTGCTATGATACCAATGAAGTTGAAAATGAGAACATTCAGCAGAAGTTGTCACTCATTAGGTTTCAGCTGCAGTGATGCTAAACTTATCTCAGATTTCTGTATATATTTATTGTAATATCTACTGTAAGTACCAAAGCAAGTGTTCTCTGGAACCTATGTTAAGGACCACTGCACTATTGCGCAGAAACAAAGCATATCAGTTTAGGTATGCGCTGACCATATCAATTAAGTTAGAATTTCTTTGTACGTCATTTGGGTCTTATCTCACTTGCCAGGCTCTTGCCAGGTATCCCAGGTCTAGCTATTTCCTTCTGATTGATAACTTAAAACCAAAAGGAAAAATTATGAAGAACTGTAAATCTTCCAGGAAAAATGTAATGGCAGCCAAAGAATAAGGCATTCTGGGATTAGGAGCAGGAGTATAAACATGTAACTCAGTAAAAATGAAGCAGGCCCATAAAGAGTGGGGAGAAGTATAAAAGCAGCTGGTTAGCAATTGTTACAGGGTCCATATGCTGTAAGGAAATCCAGCCTAGTTTAACTGTACTATGAAACTAATTTTGTTGATGAAGAAACCAAGGCAGCTGTTACATTGTAAGAAGTGAGATATCAGTAACTGCCCATACTGCAAAGATTGTTTCCCTGCAGGAAGCACTAACTTGTCTGCAGCCTCATGGTTCCAGCTACATTGATGTCTAAAAAAGAAAAAACAAAAATACTCTGGGGGGGAATAATTTAAGCAGCTGTGCGTGGGCAGCTGCACACTCCAGTCTTGGTTTTATAACAAGAAAAACGTTTTCTTCGAGCCATATATAAGTGGAAACCACATCCATTAACTGATCATCTCTGGATGGCTCAGGAATAAAGGAGAGCACTAAAAAGTGACTTGTAATAGGAAATCAATCACTGGCCATGATGTTCATGTTACTAACAAAAGATCAGGATTGACAGAGGCTTAATCATACCTTGTAGGTACCTAATGCAGCTGGTTTGTGTGTCAGGAGCAAACCAGGCAGCCATTAAGTAGTAGTAGTTCCTCTCATGTTATTTTTCACAACACTAGCCCCACCTCTGCAGTGTAGATGGGACCCTGCACCAGTTTGGGGTGCAAAGCTAAGATTCATAAGAAATTATCTGTTTTAGAATTTTGCAAGTGTTTGCATCTTTGGTCCAAAATGGCCTCTTATATTTTTGGCCAAATAACATGTTATAGATGTTCCTTTGATGTGCCAAAACAAAACAAAACAAAAAACCAAAACTTTGTGGCAATTTAGTTCTAACCTATAAGAGGAGCGGGGGAAGTCACACACAGAAAAATCTATTTAACAAGTTTCACCACACTTTAAATAAACCTTAGCCATAGCTTTCCAGGATCAGCAAATCATGTAGCATTTAGTTCAGAAGAATGTAGATGGAAGTAATTTTTATGTTACCTCACTCCCCAGCCATAACTGAGACACATAGGAACAGGCTACTTGAGTTTCCAAAAAGTCAAGCTCATAGAAGAGTTTTGACAGGATACATTAGTATCCAGCAAACACATCATTTTGTTCTTTTGACACCTCATCTGTCCTGCAAGAAGTACTTGAACCAAGTCCAGAGTACAAATTGATTTTGATCAGAAATGTTTACAAAATTGTTCATTTTGCAGAGATTACACTGGTGCTGTCTTTAGCTACATCTATACTAGTATTTACTAATTATTAACAATACAGACATTGGTAAATGAAAAATATTTATGTTACAAAAATGCCCAAGAGTAACCTTTCCCCAATGTAACTTGTTGGGGTTTTGGGGGGACTTGGGGTGGGGTGGTTGGTTTTTTTTTTTTTTTTGAAAGAAATTATTTTGCAAAGATGCAACTCTTGGGGAAAACTTTTCAGTAGATTAAATACTGTCATTCCTTCCACACGTCAACTTCCCTCTCTCTGTACATGATCCTCAATATCTTATATGTGATTTTGAATGTTATGTTTCTTCTACTGGAAAATGGCAAAGCTTCTCAGAACTCCTGATGCAGCCTCCTTTGAAGTCAGAGCGACATCCTTTTTTTACCATTTAGTGAGAGATGGATTCAGCTCATCATGAAAAAAGTTGTTCTTTCTGCTTGTCTGCCATAGCTGGCACAGGAGAACGTATGGCGAGACAAGATATCTGGGGTGTCTGCTGACAGATTTCAGTTTTAAAGGTGACTTTCAGAGGACTATCTTTAATCCTAGTGGTCACCAAGAGACCCTAATAACTGCCTAAATTGTGAAAGTGATACTTTCATTTTAATCCTATATGAGACAGAGAAAAATGTACATCTCCAGTAAAATTTGCAGAAATTTCAGAAAAGCTAGTGGTAGGTAGTCTAGTGGTACATTTCTTTAGACAGTGGCTGATGTTATAAACAAATATATAGCCATGACATAATGTAACCTGTAGTAGGAAAATATTTTATATATTGTGGGTTTGAGGCAGACAGAGAGGGTATATGGCCTATGTTCAGCTGGAGAGAGTGGCAAGAAAAGAAATGGAAGCCTAATGTACACGAGGAGGCATGCTTGTGTCTAATCCATTAGAGAAATTGCTCAAGAGTAGTCCCATGATGCGAAAATACATCATACTCTCAGGCTTAACAAGACCTAGGTTGATTGTCTTGAGTAATATTGCTGGTAGCACAGAACTTTAACTTGTACATCCAATGCTTTTTAATTTACCAGGAGCTCTACTGAAGTACACGATGAGCCTAAAAGGAATCTGCTGGGGATGAATGAGAGAGAGATTGGAAATGTGAAGGGAAGGAATGTGAAGGGTTTGTCTTCTGGCAGTGACTAGCACTTCTGTTTACACTTAGTCCCAGCTCTTTGCACTCAGGTATAGACTTTCTCCCCCCTTTTTGGCACTTGTGTCTAGTTAAGACATGCCAGGATGAGCATGGGGACTCTGAAGAATGGGGCATGGGATTCCCAATGTGTTACCTAAGTGCCTGCATTAGCAAACAGCCCTTCTAAATCTTTTTAGGAATAACTCGCAAGAGACAACGTTTGATCTTGCCAGAGCTCCTGAAATTCAGTCTGCCAATCAAACAGTGAGAAATATGGGTGTATGGGTAGATGGAAAGAGAATAATTCCATGTGAATGTGCCTCACACAGACAGGTGCATAGGCACACAAAGAGAAAAAAAAAATAATTTTTTGAAGTAACTCATTAAAGCTGTGCAGTTAGCCTGTTTGCCCCATATAGCAACACATGAAGAAATTACTGTAACTACACTGGAATCCACAATCCCAGAACTGTCCTCTAAAACTATAGTTAAAATGTGTTGTAGATAAAGATGAAGGTTTGCCCTGATCTGCCTAAATATGATTCAGTGACCACAGTCAGAAAATATTTAAGAAAGAAGTATAAGGCTGAAGTATAAGGTAGTATCTCAGTACTTAACAAACCTAGATGTCACTTAGAAATATCTGTATTTCCTAGAAGTAAGAAGTACTGACATGGCACTTCCTATGTTCACCTGATATTGCTGTGCATCTGTAGCCTTATCACACTGAAACTGCATTGAAGCTGAACATCTAGAATATCAAAAAGTTCACTCTGTAGGGCATTCTAATCAAACCTAGTAGGTTCTTTCAATGAAAGTATCTTTGATTTCTTATCTCATCATTTTTAGGCAGACTATGCCTGCTTACAATAAAATCTGCAAGTGTCTTTGCAGATCTGCAGTCTTTGTCCACCTAAAAACAGTACTTGAAATGAGAGCAAGAGGTAAAAAAATCTCCGAGGCTCTGAAGACTCTGTAAACATAGTTATGAATCCAATTTTTACCCATATTCCCTATTTTCTTACACTTCATGACTACCAAAGAGCTGTCCTTTGTTTCCAAGCCAACATAATTTTTACAACCAAAAGAGCTCTGTACAGTCTCTGCTTTTGTTTTTGCAGAATTCAGCTTTCATTGAGGAGCTGTAATCTAAAATCTCCTCGCCTGAGAAAAATTACAGATGTATCTTTTGCAAATATGAACACAACTTTTGAAATGCTGATAATTTTATCCTGAAATTTTAGGCTAGCCCCAACATAATAGTTGAAGTGCCCACAAACAAAATGTCATCAGTCTGGTTAGGTTCAACTAACTTTGAATGCTCAAAGGCTTAAGTGATCCAGCAGACAATCATTTTCACTGATCCTCACAGTTTTCAGCAACATCAAGCAGCGAAGGCCCTCTGTCTTAAGGAAGGAAGATTAAAGAAATGGCACCTTTCAATCTGAAAGCACAGAGAGACAATCTGTGCTTTTAGTGTTGAACCTGTCAATATGTTTGTATGGCTGTTTCCGTAGCCTACTTTACTCCCACTTTAACTTTCCAGTTACAGTTGCAACACAGCTACATTAGCATCAGTACCTTGTAGGCTGAATTTGCCATGTTTTCTGCACTTTTAGTTATATCATTAGATGCTGCTTCAAGAGACTAAAGACACTCTAAGTCTCTCTG